TGATATAAAACTTTTACTGTTTGAATGTTTTTACCGGTATATACAATCATTTAAATAATAAATAAAAAAAAATATTTTAAAAAAAAGTTTATTAAAAATTTTTAACCGTTGCCTCCATTCTCTTGAAACTTCCTCTGAAAACGCAGTTTACTCTAATAAATCAGGTACTTATGGTCTTGTAATCAGAAGTTAAAGTTATGTAAACGCGTTTTTGGACATCATTTAATATGCATGGTGGTGACCACCACTAGTAGGACAGAAAAGACTTGGCATACTTACCCTTACCCGTTTGAACGACGGGTCGTATTAAACTTTGCAAACATGTATATATGTAGTTCTAAAGTTGATTCCGGCTTATTCTTAAATGTTGACCGTTGCTTTCCTAAAGTATGTCATGATGAGATTAAAAACAGATAACTGGAGCATTTTCAGTACCATCTCTTGATGGGCAGTTTCGTTCTAAAATGCTTATATTTTTAGGTGTGTCCTTTGTTCGCTGCAAGAAGATTGCATGGCCCCGAAAAATGCCAGCCTCGCATGTCTGTTTCGTGATCGATACCGTGACTATGTCGGCAACTGCCATCGTTACGACCAATCAGTACTCAACTTGCTTCTAGCGAATCGTAACTGTTTCAACAGCTACTTTTGGACCAGCGGAATAACGAATTTCTTTCGAATCGAGCGCTTCCAAACTTCTGTTTCGTTGCCTATTCTTTGTTGATATTTTTGTTTTACTTTATTACTCCTGACTGATCTCAGCTGTTTTCGGTTTGCGTCTTTTAGTTTCGACTTTTATTCAGAGTTTAGCTGTTTTCAATTTTTATAATTGTTTACCCGATAGGTTGATACACCATAGATTGTACAGCTGAGGCGTCTCTTAGTTTGATTGATTAGCATAATGAAATACGACAAAAATTGTTAAGTCCATAATCGTTCGGTATTTCTAAAAAATTTGCGTCTCTTGTCTTCAGGGAAAGATAATAAAATATATATTTGGCCCATTGATAATGAGGTTATTCATTATTCACTCTTCACAGAAATATTTAAATCAAATATAAATTTGAAATTCTGTTTACCAGCAGCGTCTTGAACGCGATTTTTGCTACCAGCAAAATAATCGAAAACGCCTTCAACAATGGGATGCAAAGATCTTTGCAGATGTTGCACACTACACCCAACTGACCACATCAATACTATTAATAACTGCTTTCGTTCAAAGAGCCCTGTGGGTTTTCATGGTAAAACTTAAAGTAGTTTCATGACCTACCAAAAGAAAGAATTCACGGTCATTATGATGCTACTGTTTCGTTCTTTGCCCTCGTCTCTCAAATCTCTCAAACAAATAATTCTACAAATACAGTTACTCCAAGGTTTCAGTGCACTTAAATAAAGCGACAGACAGCAAGTGATGGAACAACGTGCCATGAACTGATTGCATGCGTGGAGCAGCAAGACAAACTTGCAATAAAGAAAAGAAAAGGACCCTGGAGCTACCAAAGAAACTAGGGCGAAAATATCAATTCTCTTCGAATGACAAAAAAGACCAAAAGGGAATCACAGAGTGGGTAATTAACTGGCGAAGATAAATGATTATGCTGAAGATCAGAATGAATAGGTATTTTGATTTCATAGTTAACAGGGTGAAAGCAAGCAAATATTTATTTTAATTTATTATTGGCATCGTGCACCATCAGGGAACGTACAAAGCGAAATATTAGTAAAGATCGACTGTCAGTCTAAGTAAAACAAGCATATGACACCACGCTGGACATTATAGCGACTGAGATGCTATGCTCGTGAGACGACCCAAAATATAAGGCTTCAGGCATTTCATACATAAGAACTTCATTTGTCAAAGCCGTAAAAACTTCGGCGTAACGGACAGTTTTACTGCACCTCGAAGCATTATGGCATCAATATCACCCAGTAAAATTTCAGAAATGTAAGAAACGTTTTGAATCGCCAGCCAATAAGCCAGAAAATAAAAAAAACTGAGATAAAAAAACGTGTGTGAGGTGGGGATGAAGATACCAGGCTGAAACTTTAATTCTAGACATATACACATATTCACAATCAACTTTTGAATTTTTGAACGGGAATAAGTATTCCTCATGCACTACCAGCGTGAAAATTACAACATTAAGTCATACATCATATTCTGGAAACTGTTAGTGCCAAAATGTTCGAGTACAATCGGCCTTATTAAAGTCATAAAAATACTGCAGTGCGGACGTCTGGAAGCAGATAAATAATCAGATGCTGTGGTTAAGTGACATAAGAAAGAAAAGAACAATTATTGGACCCTGTGTCAACCGATTCAAATAATATCCTTTTCGAACAAAATTATTTAAATTAAACTTAATTTTTAAGGCGTAGTTTAATCACTTGAATATCTATATCTGCTGGCTGGAACGGAAGACTTCAGCAACTTT